GGGGGGGGGGGTGGTTGGTGGTGGGGAGGTAGAAATGATTGATGAAATGTTGCCCTTGTTTGTTATATATTGCTACATGTTGTTATTTATTTAGACCACAATGAGCTTGTTGAGTGTGACGACTTCAACATGGAAAGGCAGAGGTTGAAACCTGAAGACCTGCAGAGGATGGAATTAACGGAATACAAAACAGAGGGCAAAGGTTTGTTGTTTTATTTACATACCAGGGGCAGATTTAGGCCGTCTTCTGGGTCTTCCGGAAGAGGGTCAGATTTTCAAGTTTACATTGATGGGTATCTAATTTTTTCTGTCAGAAGACGGTCAAAAATGAAGGATGAATCAACAAAGATAATTTGGAAGACTGTCAGAAAATATCTTTGGGTCCGCCCCTGCATACTGCTTATGTAATCACATGTTAATTGATTAATTTTATTTTTTATAATGCATGAATGAATTTTCTAAACACATTTTAAGAAAATTTGTATTGAACCTTCTGTTTTTAATATTTAATTTTAGGAGAAGAAGAACCAATGATGCTGCAGTCAAATACTAAGACAGGTGACTCAGGTGAAGCATAGGTGGCGCTTTAGGCAAGAGAAGATATCCTGTATAGATGACTGTTTTCCTTAAAGGAAAGACAAGACACAAATTGGCTTGGTTGTATGATGCTTGACAAATGGTCGGTGGATACAGATTTATATGTACTTGGTATAAATCACAGATTCACTAATACCATATCCACTGAAATGATTGACTATTCCATGTTAATGTGCAATAATTTTAAAGGCATCTTAACACATGATATTATTTTTAACTGCTTTTCTGATGTGTTGAAGAAAATTCAGTTCTCTTGTTAACTGTTTTAAATGTGGATGAAACAAAAGTTTGCATAATATTCTGACCAAACCAACTAAAAGTGTGGTGAAATTCAAGATATTTTTTACTGAACTTATGTTAGTTGTTCCATAAAGATCAAGCTCTGTTTTTCAATCAGGGGTGTATTTAAAATAATCAGGTTTCAAATTAAGTGTTTTTTTTCTAACACAGTAGGTGTGTGTGAATCTTTTATTCATATGATAATACAGAAAAAACTTGATATTTTCACCCTTAAAAGAAAAAGCTTTTGATATATTTTCAGACTTGGTAAAAATTCTAATTTTTTAGATGTTACATGGATGTTTTTTTCTTACTCTAGATGAAAAATGGAGAAAATATGTATATTTTCAGATATTACACATCCTTTTGATTAACAGTGATATTTTGAACTCCAGATATTTTAGGAAAGCTGAGTATAATTTTGATATTCTAAGCCTCATCCTCATTGTGTGGTGAAATACTGATTCTTTACACAAACATGAGCTTTTCTTTAGAATTTTAAAATTATGCGTAATTTTGAGATTTTTTTGTATAACTCTGATGAGTCCTGAGGATCCTGGGGGGGGGGGGGGGCAGATGTTTAATTATTTTGTCTGGAGCCAGTTTCTCAGAGAATTTTATAATCTATCCCTTAATCTGTCACACCGTGTAACTTTCGTGAGGAGAAGTCAAGATGAGACACAACTTATGCATATCAGTTATGTATAGATAGATATTTATAATTCTTTTATTTTTGCCTGTTTTTGTTACTCTTTATTTAGTCAACTTACACTAATTGGTTTGTGCTTTATCATGGCATTGATTTGTCAGTCTGAACCAACTTACAATATTGATATTGTTGTTATTATTATCATTATAATTGGTTTTACTCTCATATGAACAATGTGGTGTATTTCAATTATAGCTCTATCATTATTATTGCATAAATATACACTTTTATTTTAACTTACTTTAAATAATTTGCATTGGGTCAGACATGTTATGTGGATTTGACAAATGTTTTGTGTTCACTTCAAAGATATTGTAAACTTACATTTTATTACATTTTGTACTTATTTTTGTGCATTTGTCAATCATATCACAATTGAATGCTTTACTTTGTGCAGAGACTTTATGAGCAGTGAACTTAAATTTTTGTTGGTGCGCTTCATTTCCTTGTAGCAAAAAGAAACTATTCTGAATTTATGTTATGGTGCTTATATGCTTAGATCTATATTAATTATGATATATGTTTGAAAAAAAATATGTAGGTAAAGTTTTTTCTACCCTTCACATTAAAAGATGTTTTGCACCTATCTCAGCATTATTTTCCAAAGTGTCAGATGTTTTTGTGTATTTTAGTAGTATATTTTACTGTAATCCACTCATTTTAAGTAGCTTAATTTTGGTGATCCCATAGAAGTATTAAGACATTGTAAGTAGAATTAGAGCAGTCTAATGCATTGTTTTCATTTTATAGCAAAATACATGAGTTTTACACTCTATACCTCACTCATGGTTGTAATATTTTATGGTAATATCAGATGAAATATTAATAATACC